AGAAACAGCACAGTAACCAGGATAAAACTCCTTATACAGCAGATTTATATGTCTTTTTAGTTTTATATGTCTATAGGAAAAAGCTTAGTTCTGTCCTGCTTTGTTAGGTTTTCCCCTCTAACATAGAAAGGATAGAAATACATGTTAAGACTCAAGCTTACGTGAAATCTATAAACAGTTTATGAGCACTGATCTGATGACACATGATGAAATGAACAAAAACTTTGAAAGAAAGAAAGTGGCACTGCAGTAGCCAGTGCTGATTCTGGAGTGTTATGATGTGAAATCCAGCAATATTATTAATCTTTGTTCAGAAGGATTTTAATCTAATATGCTCTGTTAGGTCTCAACATAAATGAAGATATGGATAAACGCGTACATGTCTAAGTGTATAGGATTAATAGCCATAATACTTAGTTTTTGTTGGATAGTTGAACGGAACTGTTTGCAGTCTCCCTGGTTAAATTCCCATTTATATGTTCCACTTGTGTACTTTGAACAACTATCTATAGGAGGACAATATGTATACATCAGGTAGTGATTTATTACTATTTCTTTTCTTTGAAAGTATGTACTATTTCTGCCCGCTTTCTGTTTTGTTTTATCTTTCTTTAAAAAAATATATATATATATACATATATATAAAAAAGGAAGGGGAGATTTGAGATAAGCAAAGAAAGAAGGGAGGGAAATCTAAATGCAAAGTGAGAGAAAATATAAAGAGATTGAGTCCAGTTAGCAGAAATACAAAGGAAAAATCGCAGAACTAGCAGAAATACAAAGTTGTGAAGCCCTATGAAACAACACTTATGACAACACATGACTACTCAGATTTAGAAGCAAAGCAAGAACTGTAATATCCAATGCACACATATTTACACATATTCCCCCCACATCAGTCCAGGCCCACTTTTCTTCCTGTGGGGGCAGTTATATTGGAAATAATTATCTCCGCCACAGTTTTACTAGCTATTGCCTGATAAAAGGTGAAAACATTTTTTCTTTCTAATTTAAGGTTCTCCTCTGTGCCTCTGTCCCTGTGGGGTGTTCAGGGGCTCTGGAGGCTGAGTTCTACCCCTTGGTATTTGTAGATGAGCTTAGTGTCAGGTCAGCCCGGTAGCAGGACTGACCCCACCTGCCACTCCTTTTCCTCGGTATCTGGCACTGAAAGCCTGGGCTGTCTGCCAGGCCTCTTACTTTCCTGGTCCAAACATCTGTACTGTGGCCAACACTAAATTACCTGACTGTGCTGTCGGTGGCAGGCCTGGCTGGTGTTTTTGTGCTCGTGCACTTGTGCTGAATGACTGTGTGCAATTAAACACCATGGCTGCCCCGTCTTCAGCTTGTTCCTACAGCAGACGTCCACATGCAGCCCCTCCTGTCACAGGGTCCTATTCTGTGACTCTTCCTGCCACCTTATTCAAACCACCCTTGATGCCCGCCCTTTTCTTTTGGGGCATTTCCCTCCACCTGCCTGATCAGTCGTGCTCACTGCCGGCTGGAGTCTGGTCACCCACTGAGACTTTCTCAGCCTCAAGTTCTAGTCTCCTGGAGCTAGGTGCTGGGGGTTTCCCCTAGCCCCATGAGTTTAGTTTTTCTCTGTCATGGTCAAGCTAATAATTAGGGCGGGCCCCCCTTAGCTTCCTGCGGGGAGGTGGAGCCTTTGCCTCCACCTGGAAGGAAGCCCACTGCCCCGCAGAGCTCTGCGCTTCACTGCTGTTGCTCTCTGGCTACTGTGTTCTTTCAACCCAGAAAGAATTACTAGGGAGAGAATCAAAAGAAGACTCAGCAAAGTATTTATTGTAGAGCGAAAACAGAAAGTAGCATTTATTGTAAAGTGGAAGCAAAAAGCTCCTAGGGAAATGAACTCGGAATGGGTTGCCCTAGAGGGTGTTATTGAGTTGTGTTGAGTGGGTTTTATACCCCACAATGACTACATTTTTAGACAAATTGAGATTAATCTATGGGGTTACAGACAGGCAAGTTTGATGTAGAAGTGGGCCTAGGAGACCTTGGGCTGTGTAGCAGATCTTGTCCTGTGAGCACTATTAATTGTAACTAAATAGAACAGATATGTTTTAGAAAGGCATGAGTGCTTTAATTCTGGCAAGAAAATCCTGCCAGTCTAACTGAGGCCTTTGTTGTTTTGTTGTTGTTATTGTCTGTCTTTTTGAGACAGGGCTTCACTATATAGTTCAGGATTGCTTTGAACTCACTTTGTAGCCCAGGCTGGCCTTGAACTCACAGTGATCCTCCTGCTTCAGCCTCCTGAGTGCTGGGATTACAGGCATGCACCCTGCCACACCTGGTTTGACCTTTGTTTGCTGAGCTGCCATGTGTCCTGGCTGACTTCCTCGCCCGCTTTGGGTTGGCCCTTTCCTGGCTGCTTTCCAGGCTGTCTGAAGACCTCCCTTTGCCAGAGCGCTTCTCATGCTCCCCTCCCTACGTGGGCTAAGGTCACTCTGAGAAATCTTCTTGTCCTCAGTGAGCACTGTTGGAAGTCTCTTGTTAGGTTAGCAAGATAACGTCCAAACATTAGAGAATGGGACTGAAGCGCAGCCGTGGCGACGGAGGGCTTGTGGTCCATCCTCTCAGGTCTCCTGTTATCTCCCCACTTCAGCTTCTGTTCCGTATCCTTCTGAGTAGCAATACGGTACTTCTGGGTTTTATCTGGTTGTTCGTTTGCTCAAGTGACAGTGCAGGACTTTCCTGTGATCTCCATCTCCTGAACGGAACTGCATATCTGCTTCATTAGATGGATCTCCGAGAGCCACTTCTGAGTACTTGGCTGCCTCAAACTGTTTAGTCTTTAAAATAAATCTGTTTAGGAATGTTAACTGACCATTTTTATTTGTCTGTTTTACTTCCACTACTGACTAACTATATACATGTTAGATATTTTAGAGTTTACAGTGGGCATCCCGTTACAGTGCATCTTTAAATAATTTCATCCCACTTTATCTTGCTTTCCCCCATTTTTGCTCTGGCTGCTTTTTTTGGCTGCTGCCAACTTGTTGCCCCAGTGCCGTGTGCCACCCTGCCTTGGAGCCAGCTGATTATGGACTGAAACCTCTGCAAACCGTGAGCTAAATAAACCTTTATTTCCTTCATGTTGTGTGTTGGGTATTTTGTCCCACTAATGAGAGAAAAGTAACCAAGACATGACTATTATATGCTCTTGAAAATAGTGAGTATTTTAACTTTAAATGCTCTATTATATATTTTTGAAGAAATTAAAAGACAGTGAAATGTCTTTTCTATCTAACCACGATTTGCCATTTCTGGCACTCTTCGTGTTTTGGAAGAAGACTCAAGTTTCTGTTGTTATCATTTTGCTTCATCTAATACATGTCCTTTAAGGTGTCTTGTTGTGTAGGTTACTGACAGCGTTTCTTTTCAGCATTTCCATACTTGAAAATTTCTCTATTTCATCGTCGTTGTTGGATATCCTTACTTGATTGTGATTTACAGGTTTATAATTGTTTTCTTTCAGCACTTTAAATGAGAATTTCCATTATTTTCTTCTTTGCATTATTTCAATGAGAAGTATACTCTCATTTTTCTTGTGATTACTCCAAGAGTAGTATGTCTTGTGCTTTTTCAATCTTTTCCTTTTTATCCGGTTTGATTTGGCTCTGAATCTAAATGCATTGCTACTTGAATTTTTGGATTTGTTCAATTTCCTGGATTTGCTTAGTGTTGAAATTCTAAAAAATCTGTGCTGTGATAATTCTTGCTAAATGTGAAGCATTCCAACTGTTGGCCTCATTTAACGGTCTGTCCTCACGTTCTTCCTTTCGTTATTCCAGATACACACGGATACCACCTCCTGGCCATCCCCCTAGGCCAGCGAGCCCTTTTTTCTTTTCTTCTTGAACCTTTCTGTCTTTTTTCTCTGTGCTTTAATGGATAGTTTTTATTGAATGTTTTAATGTTCAGGGATCTTTTCATCTACAGGATACAACCACTACCACAACCTTTCTAGTGAATTTTGTATTACAGATATTGCATTTTCAGCTTTAAAATTTTTGTCTGGTTCTTTATGTAGTTTCATGGCTTTCCCCCGTTCACTACATACGTGCCCATCTAACTGGGAGGGTTAGCATTTGCCTTCCCAGGAACATCTTTGTTTCTTGACAGCCTTGCCAGGGTATATTGCCCAAACTTCTGGATTTTTGCAGTATAAGTGAAGAAAATTTGTTTCTTGCTATAGATTTAGTTTCCATTTCTTTTATTCTGATTGAAACTATTTGATGTGTTGAAGGTGTTTTGCTTTATTTCTTTATTTGCTTACTTATAGTTTGACTGTTTTTGATTTGTAGGAAGTCTCCTTATAATACAGCAATGATACAAGTTAAAAATAGTTTTCTTTCTTTATCCTTGATCCTGCTTCTGTTTTTGTAGTGCTGTTTTTTGCCATGCTGGCTCAGTTATTTCCAGTTGGGTAATTGTCTCATCCTCCTGGGAACTTTCTCACCTCTGATGGTGTGACCCTTTTCATGAATGTCTTTGCTATTGTCAAAGCAAAGCACATTTCTCCCCAATTCATTTACTGCATTCACTCATTGGACACCAAGTTGTTATTCATTCAACAACCATTTCTAGTACACAAGGGGTCTGTTGTGCACTAGAATCTGTGCAAGGCTTCCTGTGGAATGAAAAAGAAATATGTCTCTCATTCATAGGGACCCCAGTGCCACTTAGGTGGGGCATCAAGAGCTGTATGGTATTATTTGCCTGGTGCTGCAGAGCAACAGGGAAAGCATTCCACTCTGATTAGGGGAATATGGGGCACTTTACATGTTATAAACTCACAAGTTTATCAGAAAAAAATCAAATTCAGAACTAAATTGCATCATATTAGAAACAAAGTATTAACTTTTGAACACTTGATCTAAAGTTGTAAATTAGAACTAAATTTCTGACAAACTGCTCAGTTATGCAGAAATCGGATTCCACAGAGCTCTGCGCTGGCTCATCCACAGTTGTTTCTGTTGCAGGTGGTTTAATACTGGCTGCTGATTACTCTCAGCTCGAACTGAGGATCTTGGCTCATTTGTCTCGTGATCATCGTCTCATTCAAGTACTAAACACTGGAGCCGACGTTTTCAGGAGCATCGCAGCAGAGTGGAAGATGACGGAGCCGGAGTCTGTGGGGGATGAGCTGAGGCAACAGGCAAAGCAGGTGACCTGGTGGACGCGCCCAGGCACACACAGGGCTCTAGTGGGTCCAGAGTTTTTAACTATCTGAATTACTTGATACAAGGAACATTTTTCTGTCTTTGGATATTTCCAATCACATTATTCAGAGCAGGACTCACGGTGTTACACTCAAGGTGATACAACTCTAACTGTGGAATCAGGAGAAATTCTAAGGGTTATGACTTGGGCAATCCGGCCCGTTAATCTGCGTATTCATTCCCTGGCGTGGCTGCCTCCATACTGGTAAGCCCCTTGGTGGTTTTCCTGTGCGTATGCTATAGCACTTTTGTCCTACTTCACAAAGCACTGAACCACCTCATTGGTAAGTGTTGCTGAGATCTTAGATACCACTAATTTTTATGAGATTAAAGCAAACAAACATTAGGAATCACAATAAAATAAAGCTTTCTTTATATACAGTGTCTCACTGTATATTCAGGCTGGCTTTGAAGTCACTATGTAGCTCAGGCTGGCTTTGAACTTGCAATTATCCTCCTGCTCCAGCCTCCCAAGTGCTAGAATTACACATGTGCACCACATGGAGCTGGCAAAGCATTAAAAAAAACCCACAAAAGCAAAATAAAAAGCTTTTAAAAGAAAGAAGGCTGTGGTAGTGGGGATCCCTCTAACAGGCTTATCACAATAAAAAAGTTTGGAATTCTGATACTCATTTAATGCATGCTGTCTTTTTTGTGTTTTGTGTTTTGGTAACACTGATGTAGAGCTTGCTTTATGCCAGACGGTTTTCCGAATGCTTCCATGCAGCAGTTCTCCCAGTCTTAATTCCATGCCACGGGTATCACTGTCTTCATTTTATAGACGAAGAAACCAAGACAGGGAGGGTTAGTGACGAGTGAAAAAAGCCTGCCTGTGAGTGATGGCGCTAAGCTTGAACCGAGGCAGGAGTTCCTGGTGAGTCAGAATCTCTTCAGCGGACAAGCTGGCTGTTTTCCTTTCACTGCTCCCAAAATTTCCTCAGGCTTTTGTTGGGATTTAACCCAGATAAATTCTGCACTTGTGGGATGTTACGGGGCTGTAATTTGAAGATATTTATTTCCACGGAAGTGGTCTCTGTGTTAATAGATGATCTGTTACTTAGTTCTGTCCACAGGTAAATAGAGAATGTGTATAATATTTTTTCCCTATCTTCTAGGTGCTTCTTTAAGCAGATGTTAGTGGGGATGCTCTGAGGAGTAAAAGGCTGCTCTCACGAGTGACAGACAGATGACAAATGGAAATACATCTTTCTTTTTAGATGGTGACTTTTATTACAACACATATGCACATTCAAATTCACTTATACTTTCTCCTCTTTCATTCCTTTCTCTCTTAAAAACACCAGTGGGGAATGGTGGTGTGTACCTGTAATCCTAGCACTCAGAAGACTTAGGCAGGAGGATTGCTGTGAGATCAAGAACAGTGTGGCCAACGTAGTGAGTCCAAGGCCAGCTGAACTACATAGCAAGACCCTGTATCCAAAAAACAAAACAGCAAAATAAACAAGTGTTAAAGTAGATCTAATCATTTCTTTGACTCACTATAAAATAAAGTTTACCAAAATTTCAATACAAAAGAACTGGTTATATTTGCATTTTATGTAGTTCTGACTTAATTTCCTCATTGAGTATGATGACTCCCTTTCAGATTTGCTATGGAATCATTTATGGGATGGGAGCTAAATCTTTAGGAGAACAAATGGGCATTAAAGAAGATGCTGCTGCTTGCTATATTGATTCCTTCAAGTCCAGATATAAAGGTAACAATGCTTGAGTGCTGAATGTCTTCTAGATGCCACTGTTTGCAGTTCAGATTCCCCATGTTAGATTAATTCAAATGTGTGTTCTAGAATTTTCTACCAAAATTTTTGTTTTCAGAAATTTTCATCAGGCATGGTTTTTGGCAAAAAACATGAACCTTACTTGATATGAGTATTTACTAAGATACAGTTGGGGTTTTTTTCCAGAGAAGTAGGGCAGAGATGGATAAGAACTCAGAGAAAACTCTTGTGAAAGAGTAATTTGATGTCTTAAGTTAGATGCTCTTTTGACAGTTCTTTGAAATACAATTTATATACAGCCCCTTTTCAAGTCTGTAGTTCTATGAATTTTGACAAATGTATATGGTCATATAATGTACATCACATTCAAGATCTAGAATGGTTACTATCACCCTGGAAAATTTTTTAATCTTCTTTTGCAATCAATTCCAACCCTATGAACATTGGCATTGACTAACCAATACTGTAACAAAAGAAAATATAAAAAGATTTGAAAGGAAAAAGAAATTGCTGTTTCAGTAAGATGTAGCCTTTTTGTACATATTGCCATGGATATGGATTCTATAAAAATAATTATTAGAACAAATGACTAAATTTTGGAAAGATCCCATCATATAAATTCACTGTGTAAAATCAGTCACATTCTTATATACTATCAAAGAATTAGTGATTATTATCCAAAAAACAGGAAATACTGGGGCATAAATTTGACAGAGTATGTGTTAGACGATACATTTAAAATTCCAGAGAAGTCTGGAGAGAAATAAGTACATATGAGATAGACCACTTTGATTGGTTGGAAGCATAATATTGTTATGATGACAGTTCTCTGCAAATTGTCAGATTCAGTGTTGTCCCAATCTAAATTTCATTAGATGTTTATGTAGAATTTCATAAGCTGATTATAAATTTGTGTGGACATATGAAGGACTTGGAACTACCATAATGCTTTGGGAAGAAATTACAGTGTGGTGGACTTACATTTCCTCATATTAAAACAATATAAAGTTACAATAATTAAGATAGGCAGATGGTAGGCTTATCAGTTAAACACAACAGAGAGCCCAGAGATAGAATTATAAATGTATTTAATTGATTGTTCAAAAGTTCCCATGGTAATTTAACAGATGAAATGTAATCTTCTCAGAAATTTGTGCTAGAGGAACTAGATAATGTTATGGTAAAGAAATTAATCTCAGATTATGTATCACATCAAATACAAAATTTAACTTGATAGGGTTTGTAGACTGAGAAGTAATAGCTACATTATCTTTTGGGAGAAAATGAGAAAAATATTTTTAATATCAAGACAGGGAAAGATGTCTTAAATCATAACAACAATAAATTAATCAAATACAAAAACATTAATGAAAAACACAATTAAGAAAATATAAAAGCAAACCATAGTTTGGGAGAAAATATTTGTAGTAGCTACTGTTCAACAAAGGACTTCTATCTGTAATGCATAAGAAACTCTTATAACTCAGTGTTTTGAAGGCAGATTGAGCAGATACATGAATGATGTTAACTGTTGTCATCATTAGTCATCAGGGAAAAGCACATTAAAACTAAAGAGAAACCATTACAAAAACAGTAAAATAGCTAAAATTAAAAATACTGTTATCTCTTTTACTTTGGTGGGACTTTAAAAGTTAAAACCATTTTTGAAAAAGCTTTCTATTTGCTCTTTTTTTATTTAAAGAAAGACAAAACAAAATAGAAAACAGGCAGAAATAGTACGTACTTTCAAAGAAAAGAAATAGACAGTAATAAATCACTAGTTATGTATACATATTGTCCCCCCACAAATAGTTGTTCAAGTTACACAAGTGGAACATATAAATGGGAATTTAACCAGGGAGACTGCAAACAGTTCTGTTCAACTATCCAACAAAAACTAATTATTATGGCTATCAATCCTATACACTTAGACATGTATGTATTTATCTATATCTTCATTTATGTTGGGACCTAACACAATTTATTAGATTAAAATCCTTCTGAACAAAGATTAATAATATTGCTGGATTTGACATCATAACACTCTGCAATCAGGACTGTGTACTGCAGTGCCACTTTCTTTCCTTCAAAGTTTTTGTTTATCTCATCATGTGTCATCAGATCAGTTCTCATAAACTGTTTATAGGATTTACGTAAGCATGAATCTTAACAGGTATTTCTATCTTTTCTATATTAGAGGGAGAAACATAACAAAGCAGGACAGAACTAAACTTATTCCTATAGATATATAAAACTAAAAAGACATAAATTTGCTGTATAAAGAGTTCTACCATGGTCACTGTGCTGTTTCTTGTTATCATCAACAGAATTGGCTATATCATCAGATAAAGTATAATTGAACATATCAGTACATAACACGATTAACAGAAATACAACTTTGTAGATAGTGTAGAGCTGCTCTTTCACATAAAAAACATACACTTAGCCATATAACCCTGAAACTAGTTTTAGGTGTTTGCCGGAGAAAAATAAAAATGTATGTCCAAAGCAAGATTTGAAATGAGTATTACAGCAGTCAGATATTGTGAACAGGCCAACTGTATATTAGTAGGAAAAATAGATAAACAAATTTTTATGTATCTCTACCATGAAATATTACCAGTCCAGGAACAGGAGTCGCAATGATATTCACTACAATACTGATGATACCTGAAAATATTTTTTCTTGGGAAAGAAGGCACGCATACATATAGTATGAGAACATACAGCATAACCCAATTTTATGAAATCTAAGTGCACTAAAAGCTAACACAGTGCTGTCAAGCAGGTCAGCGAGTGCCTGGGGCTGGTGATGTGGCTGAGAGACAGCGGTGTCCTCTGTAGCTGCAGCAGGCTAGGGCACGAACATTTGTCACAATGTGTCCAACTGTTCACTCCAAGTGACTTTTTTTTTTTACCAGCTCTAAATTATACTTCAGAAGTTTTTTGAGTAGCCCTGACAGTTTGAATATTCGCAGGCCTAGTCCAGGAGTTAGGTAGGAATGTGGAGAGGCCAGCCTCCTGCAGCCCACCCTTTCCTCCTGACTGCCTTGAGAGACTGGCCTGCCTGCGGCGTGAAGCCTCTGCAGAGTTCACCTGGCTCCGAGCGCTTGGCTCTTCCCCCCACCTGTCTTCCCGCCAAGTGTGCTTCTGTGCTCTTGCCCTGTCAGAGAGCCCAGAGATTTATCAGCTTCCCTAGTTGGGAAGCACTGTGTCTGTTACTTTGGATGAGCAGAGTGCACAGCTAAACAAAGATAGCGCGGAGCAGTTTGTCAGCTTCCGGTGTGGCCAAGAGGCAGGGCGCCTGTGGCTGGTGGCCAGGCTGAGAGAGACAGAGGAGAAGACCCTGTGGGCAGAGAATGGAGTGAACAGCACGGGGCTGACCACCCCTCCAGTGTGTGCCTCCTGGAACACCCTCGGCACAGCGACGGCCGGACCTGTATGGCAGAGTTTGGGTGCTGTCCAGGGAATCTGAGTATTTTGAACACTCACTACACCTTGTGGTTTTGCTGTTTGTTTGTTTGTTATTCCTATCCGCTTGGTTTGTACTCAGTCCTCACTCAGACAGTTACCTATTTATGGATTGTCTTATGTTATTTCTGATTAAAAGCAGATTGTGTTGTTTTTTAACTTTTCAAGCTTACAGAAAGCACATGAAGGTTTTAATGTATAGTTTTGATATGATACTAATGTTAATTATGAGAATAATTTTGGTGTATTTCATTCTTTGTATTTTAAGTTATAATTATGTAATTCTGTATTTTCTTTGTAGGGATTAATTGTTTCCTGAGAGAGACAGTGAAGAACTGTGAAAGAGATGGCTTTGTTCAGACCGTTTTGGGAAGGCGTAGATACCTACCAGGAATCAGAGACAATAACCCTTATCGTAAAGCTCATGTATGTTGAAATTTCTGTGAATTTTTAACTTAACATTTTAATGATATGTACTTGAATTGGTTCTTTGTATGTACTTGGTCAATCGTTGCTTTTGTTAAGCATTTCTGAAATGACAGCACAGTCATTGGAGACTAATGTAAACTGGTCTATTGAACACATGGATTTAAAGATGTCCCATGCCAGCAAGCCAGTTATTTATTAGCTTTGGCAACAAATTGTAAAACACTTAATTCTTTTGTTTGTTGATTATTTTGTGGTCCACAAACCATATGTTCATTTATTGTACTATACCAGATTGCTAACATTTCTCACAGTATTTTTTATTTCTTCCTGTTCGTTTTAAAACTGTTATCTTATTAGAGATTGTTAAGATTCTTAAAATAATGTTATTCTTAAAATTATTTAAAATATTTATTGATATTTGCTAAAATTATGACTGCCATCTTTTTCTGAGATCATTGGGATTCCTGATAATATATACAGTGGTGCCTCATTTCATGAATTTAGTTTGTTCCACAAATATGGAAAAGATGCCTCACCTGATGCACACTTGATCTTAGCCAAAAGGCTGAGAAGCAATGCCTCACCTGATGTAGAGTTCACAAACAATAACAGACTTTTGCAAAACTGCTTCTGTTTGTGAATCAAATTGTTCCCAAATAAAATCATTCATGAGCTGAGTCATCACTCTGTATTTATATATCTTAGTATTTAAGCCCCTATTTTAGTCTAGACCTTGCTATTTTAACACATCGTGATTTGCCCTTTTCCATAATTCCGCATGTCCACTGCATCGTGAAAGTAGCCAGTCTCCTAACTGACTACATCTGTTGGTGTTTAAAACCTTCTGAATGCTGGTGTTTTAGGGATCCTGGAGGAATACTTGGTTTTCGTTACTTTATTGTATAGGCTTTCATATATCCACAAGTAGACAGTAGCTATTTATCAAGCTCTTTACCATTGCTCTAAATTTTTGCCATGTCTTTTAGTTGATGCACTAAGAACCATAAGTCCAAAGTATTGGAAGCATTAGGGCAAACACAAATTATATAAAAATTTTATGTATTCTCAGGGCATAGTGGTGCAGCTCTATAATCCCAGCACTTGGGAGGCTGAGGCAGGAGTAGCAATGCAGGTTCAAGGTCAGCCCAAACTATATAATGAGACTCTGTCTCAGAAAACAAACAAATTTATATATGCATTTATACTTTGGCTTCAGGGAGGAAGCAGGAACAGATTCTCAAAGACTGTCAGAAGGTTTTTAGGAATGGACAAAAGACAATCCATAAATAGGTAACTGTCTGAGTGAGGACTGAGTACAAACCAAGCGGATAGGAACAGATAGTTTGAGTTGTCACTTAAGGCTAGTTAACTTTTTGCTAGTTATTTGGAGCTAGCAGAAGCAAGAAGTCTAGAATGTTCTTTCTAGAAGTTAGAAGGCTTTTATTAGAAGATTGATGAATTTGGATTTGTCTAACATAAGTTCATTTCTTTCTTGGGATTTGTATGGTTAAACAATGGAGTATAGAATTCTTAAGGTAAGTAAATCATAAAAATTGTGAAAACTAATAGTTCAATCTGTAGAGATGTGAGAGTAAGACTTTCCATGTCAAACGTTTAGATATCCGTGTTCTGACTTCCTATGTTTTTTTCTGAGAAAAAACATTCCACGCACCTGAATAAGGGATAGAGTAAATATTGCCAGATTATTTTTTGATGTTTGTAAAAAGTAAAAAAGTGTTTTACTTTTTTGTTTAGACTCTTTTTTTAGTATGACTATTGTGACACTGTTAGCGCTGCCTGCTCTGGCATAGAGGAAAGCTTTCCATTTTCCAGTGTCCTCTTCAGTCTCCTTTTTCAATTTTGGAGAGATCTTTTACTTCATTGCTTAGATTAATTCCTACGTATTTCATTTTTCTTGATGCTATCATGTTTTTTTCATAATTTCCTTTTCATTGCATTTATTATTGGTGTACACAAATTTTAATGATTTTTATATGTTGATTTCATATCAGCTATATTGCTGAAGTTGCTTATTAATTTTAAGAATTTCTTTTTTTTTTTTTTTTTTTTTTTTTGTCTTTTTCCTTTTTTTATCGGTACCAGGGATCAAACTCACGACTGCCTGCTTGCAAGGCAGGTGCTTATGCCGCTGAGCTAAATCCCCAGCCCCCTATTTTAAGAATTTCTTAACAGAGTTCTTTGGGTCTTCTATATAAAGTATCATGTCATCTGCATATAATAATTTAAGTTCTTCCTTTCTTATACTTACCCCTTTTATTTCTTTCTCTTACCTGATTGCTCTGCCTAATGTTTCCAACATTATGTTGAACAGAAGTGGTGATAGTGGGCATCCTTGCCTTTTTCCTGATTTTAGAGGGAATGCTTTTAGTTTTTTGCTATTTACTATGATGTTGTTGGTTTGTCATAAATAGCTTTTATCAAATTTACTTATGATTTTTGTAAATTTGTTTTCTTCATTTATTATGAAGTATGTTAGGTTTTGTTGAAAGCTTTTCCTGTGTCTGTTGATGTGATTGTGTGGCTTTTGACCTTGTTTGTGTCTATGTGATGTATTACACTTATTGACTTATGTATGTTGAACCATCCCTGCATCGCTAGGATAAATTCTACTTGATCATGATGGTGATCTTTTTGATGATGTGCTGCATTATAGCTGCTTATATCTTGTTGAGAATTTTTGCATCGGTGTTCATTAAGGAAATTGACCTATAAGATTTTTTTTTTTTTTGGTTGAGCCTGTATCTGGTTTTTGGATCAGAGTGATACTGGCTTATGTAAATGAATTTGGGAACATTCTGTCCCTTTCAGCTTCTTTGAGAAGCTTGAGTGTAGGTTATATAACATCCTTAAAGTTTTTGTAGAATTCACCAGTGTATCCATCAGGTCTGGGCCCTTTTAGGTTGATAGATTCTTTATTACTGTCTTTGTATCATTGCTTATTACTGGGTTGTTCAGCATTGTTTGGGGCACTAACTTCTTCTTAGGTTAGCTTTGATAATTTATATGAATCTAGCAATCTGTCTATTTCTTCAAAATTGGCCAATTTTTTGGAATGTAGTTTTTCAAAGTAGTTACTATTTTCTGGATTTTGACTGTGCTTGTTGTGATGTCACCTTTTTAAAATTTCTGACTATAGGTAATGTCTTTTCTTTCTCTTGGTAAGGTTTAATAAAAGGATTATTCTGTTTATTCTTTCAAAGAACCAGCTCTTCAGTTTGTTGAATGTTTGTTTTAGTCTCAATTTTATTGATTTCCACTGACTTTGGTTTGGGCCTATTTTGCTTTTCTTCAAGAATCTCAAGATTCCCTAAAAAGTTTATTTGAGCTCTGCCTGTTTTCCTAATATAAGCATTGATTACAGCGGACTTTCTTCTTAGGACTGCTTTCATAGTGTCCCAGAGGTTTCTTTGAGTTATATAGGTATAATCATTAATGTCCAGGAGTTTAAAAATTTCTTCCTTGATTTCTTCTTTGACCCACTGGAGTGTGTTTTTTTCCAGAGGCTTTTACCTGTTCCATGATTTTGTCTCTGTTGATTTCTATTTTCATTATACATGGGATGATTTTGATTCTTTTATATTTAATCAGGCTTTATGGGCTAGTAGTAGGTGATCTGTTTTGGGAAAAGTACTGTGTATTGCAGAAAAGAATGTGTCCTCTGCTGTAGTGGAGTATAATACTCTGTAGATATCTATTAAGTCCTTATATCCAAGGGTGTGATTCAGCTCTAATTTTTATTCATGTTTTTGTTTGGTTGATCTGTCTGTCTGTGAGAATGGGATGTTAAGATCTTTTGCTATGATTGTGTTAGCATTTATTTAATGTTTCATGTTCAGCAGTACTTGCCTTATGAAAATAGGTACTCCAATATTTGGTGTATAAATTTTTCTAAACATTATCTCTTTTTGGATTGTTCCCTTAACTAGTATGTCATGATCTTCATCTCTTGTAATCAATCAGTTTTAACTGGGAGTTTATATTGTCTGAGATTAAAATTGCAACCCCTGCATCTTTTTAGGGTCCTGGTGCATAAAATATTGTTTCACATCCTTTAATTTTTAGTTTATAGATATATTTTTGGATTAGTTGAATTTCTTTAATTCAACAATCTGTTGGATTCTGTGTTTTAAATCTAATCTGCTGATCTGGGTCTTTTAATGTTGGAGAGTTGAGGCCATTAATGTTGAGAACCACTGAGATTATTTACTATCATTGAATTCTTTCTCTCTTGCTGATTCCGTTTTCTTTTCTTGTCATTTTTTGTTGTTTACCTGTTGACTTTCTTGGTGTTTTTGTTTCATCTAGGTTTTAGCATCGTTGGTTTCATGGTTTCTAAAATATTGAGTGTTTTGTGGAGTGCTGGTTTTATAGTCATTAAGCTCTTAAGCTGGTCTTTTTCTTGAAACATGCTTATTTTTTCATCTATTTTGAAGGCTAGCTTTGCTGGATAAGTTACTCTTGGTTGGAGGTTTTTTGCTATTAGGGCTTCAAATACTTCACTTCAAGCTCTTCTGGCCTTTTAGGTTTACACTGAGAAGTCTGCAGTAATCGATTGGTTTACAATTATATGTGATTTCTGTTTTGTTTTTCTCTCTTGCTTTTAAAATTCTGCTTTTTTTATTGGCCAGCTGGCAATTGAATAAGGATATGCCTTGTTGTATTTTTTTCTTTTTTTTTTTTTTCTTCTGATACCTAGGTATTCAACCACATTTTTATTTTAAAGATAGTAAAATACAACAAAGCAAGACAGAACAAAGCCAATCAAGACAATGCAGTAAAACTTCAGAGCAGGATACCAGAAAAGCAATAATAGCTACCATAGTATATCTTGTTATCTTCACAATAGTTGTCCATTCCATCAGCTATAGCAAAATTAACCAAAAAAATACAGTGAAACCAAGCAAACAGAATATTGAATGAAGCAAAACAGTTCATCAGAACAAAGGAAAACCGTATTGGACTCAAAGACAAAATAGGAGGAAATCTCCATATTTGCTATACTGCATACTGTCATCCTCCCAAGAAATACTCAGACTGCCTGCCCCAGTCAGCATAATTAACCAAACAATATAAGCATTTAGTCGCTTTATGTACCTTAGTTGTAACAACTCAGGCTGTCCTGGGAACTGTCTGGTTGCTCATGGGAGGTGGGGTTTGATTCTCAGCCTGCGCCCCAGTAGGCATGCCGTTGCTTACCAGGAAGGCTGGATCCTTGATTTCTTAGTTGGTCCCCCAAGTCCCGGCATGGCAGAGTCTCGGGAGATGCTGGTTTTTTTATTCTTGGTGTGCGCGCAGCTTGCGCTGCTTCCTGAATTTCTTTTTCATCACAGTTGTTTGGCGATCGGTAAGCCTCGCTTATATTTTAAACTTTTTTTCTCATATTCGGGAAATGTTCCATTATGATTTCTATAATCATGTTCATAAATCTTTTAATAAATATTAATAAATTAATAAATCTTTTAGCATTTTTTAAATTTTAGTAAACCTTAGATTAGATTCTTCTTCATGATGTCATTTAGTATCTGTAAGATGGTTCTCTTTCTTTTTTCTTTTTGGTGACTTTTTGAGTAGTTCTTTATAATTTACCATTGTCTTCAGTTGTAGACACTCTGTCTTCACGTTGTTCATTTCTGCAACTTATAAATTCTATACAGTTTTTTACTTCAGGTTCTGCCTGAAATCTTCTCAAGGCTCATATATCCTTCCTGAATACGTTATGCATGTTTTGAACTGTTTTCATCAGCTTAACCAAGTTTTTATTTGTTTCACCCAAATCCACTTTGGGCATATTGAGTGATAATGTCAAGAGTTTTTGGTTCCTCTTTTGAACTCATCTGGTTTCTTTATTTCTTTTATAAACTTTTTGGAGAGTCCTGCTACCTGGAAGTTGCTTCCCTCTCCATTTGTGCCCCTTTGCTGTGTCTTAGAGCTGAGAGTCCTTGGGAGTGTTCTGTTGCTCTGCTTCCCCATGATCCTGTGTGTGTGTATATATCTGTGTTACACTGTTCATGATCCCTAGGAACTCCAGATATTAGCACAGAGAGAAAACCAGTACTTATCCACTACTGTGTTATCTTATAAATTCAGTGGCATCGGCAGTATCAAATGACAACTGGGTATTGCCAAACCCTAGGACCTACTCCTGGACATTCCCTAGTCAGAACTAAGAGGGTTATGATTTTACGGCAGACAGACCGCCCACATATCAGCCTGTACTACTGCAGACTAGTAGTTTCAGCAGTACCAGAGATCAAAGATGCCCCTAGGCTAACGATCCTTCTTCAGGACCACTCCTTCTGATGATTTCATCCTCAAAGCCTTGCCTCCCTCAGCGGAATACACACCCTGTGAACCTCCTGGTCTGACCGCAGGTCTCCCAGGGAATCTCAGAAGATCCCCAGTTAGTGCTCCCCTTCTGCAGGCCTGTCTCCCAAGGTGTCTCTCACCTGGGCTCTGTGAGGGCAACACTTCCATCCTGAAGTGCAGCTCTCCTCCTGGGTGTTGGGGTCTTCTTCAGTCAGCTGGGCCTGTGGTTTTACACCTCTGTTGCTCTACACCTCCGTTGCTCTGTGCTACAGGGATCCCAGGAGCTCGCCCTGGCATGAGCTCATCCAGTGCTGAGGTCCTCCATGGGCTGGGTGCAGGGGCCCCAGTGTATGGCTAGGGTTGGGCAGAACTGAGCTTTGAATGGCACACAGCCAAGACTGCCAGGTTTGCTTAATGTGAAAAAAAAATTACAAAAGTACAACATCACGAGAGTGGAGTATTTGTTATATTTGTCTTGCTTATGGTATTTTAAACCACCCCCAAAATTTCCATGCCTTATAACAAGAGACTATTTTTCATTTACATTATGGTTTGGCTATGAATTGACTGTGGCTCTGCTCCAATATTTTCCTTTTTCTGGAGTGATCGGTATCAGGGATGTGCCCCATTTATTTTGTTGTAGTGTTGGATAGCGCTTACATATCCTGTATGTCAGTTTTCCTCAAAGTTTATGGGGCACAAGTAAGTCTGTCCTTTAATAGGGACCTTCACTTCAAATTGCGTGGCCATTGGAGAGGCTCTGTAATGTGCCAATGAAAGGCAGCAAGGGATAGAAACATCCATGCAGTTTACTGCACAGAGGCACAGTTTCCTGCAGGAGTGGGTATAACTCTAAAATTTGTCATTCTGAGTGACAGTTGAGTTTACAATGGATTCACCAGCATGTGACAAAGCAACAGTAGCTTTGAAAATAAAGGTATATCTCTTTAACAGATACTTAATATCTGGAACAGTGGTGAACTTCTGGCACCCATGTCATTTGTTTTTAAGACAAAAGCTGTTAATCTGAGGGTTTGGGATATAGATCTGTGGGAGAGAACTTGCCCAGCATACACAAGTCCTGAAATTCAATGCCCAGTACCACCAAAAACAACAACAAAAAAATTACATATGAGTTGTTTTTTCTGAACTAAAACCTCAGTATTCAGGTTTAATTGTGGTGTTGGTACTTTATAATAAATAAGTAGGTTTTGGATTGCAATGCGGACATTTGTTTCTAAAAGGTTTGCAATCACTGTCCTAGAAGTTGGGTGTAGGTCAGGTGATGGGGAATTTCAGAATATCTCTCAAGCTATGTTGGCTGCCTCTCCTGAGTAACCTTTTCTATTTTCTGAGACCTTCTGAGGACTCAGTAGTAACAGTCATGAGCAGGTGGCTCCAGGGTAAGGCGGCTGCCTTCCCTACTGCACTGCAATGTTAATGCTTAGCAGTCACAGTCACTGCTAAGAAGTCCCTGTAGCAGTTATTTCAGGGAAGTTCTAACTTCATACGCAGGGCTCCAGGATCTGATTTTTCCTGGTAACTATGGATGAGCCTCAGCAGCCCATGAAAAGATTCACAGCAGAGGGCTCTGAATCTATCAGGCTCAAGCTCTACACAAGACCAAGAGTTCACTGATATCATGAAGAATGATAATCTACTTCTGTTTAGGATTAAGAGTATTTTGAGGAATAAATCCTTTTAATTTAGAACAGCTAGAATATTTATGGTGTAAATTTATAAGTAAAATAATTTTGAGGTACTAAATTCTAAATACAGTGTAGTTTTGGGTCATGAGAGTGGATGATTTTCATGGAAGCAATCTCATGTTTAGTGTATCCCTGTGGCTGGCTCAGAATCTAGAGCAGTGGACCATTACAGTTGGTATTAGGATGCAGACTAGTAGTGGACGTCCTGGGTCATATCTCTGTCTAGATTTTCATTCTGTCTGCAAAGACTAACACTCATCTGTGGATGCTGAGAGGAGATCTGAGCTCTGCCGATGTAACTGATGGAGCACCTGGTATTGTCTTTCCTAGGCTGAACGTCAGGCCATCAACACAACAGTCCAAGGATCTGCAGCTGATATAGTCAAAATAGCCACAGTTAACATTCAGAGGCAACTGGAGACCTGCTCAGCCTTCAAATCCCACAGCCATAGGGAGAGGATGCTTCAGAGCGATGGGACAGGTTCGTCCATCAGTGAGGCCCTGCTCTAACATGGTGAAAAGAACTATGTCTAAAAAAAGGAAGTAGTTTAAGTGTTATTTCTCAGAAGTTATTGAATGTTTTTATAATTTTATAAGTTATTAAGGATCTGCCAAAAGGATTACTGTTTATGTGGATTGTGTCCACTGTATTTTACCATGTTGTAAATAAATAGGGAAGTTAAACACTCATTAACATTTAAAAACATTGATAAACCCACCACTTTTTAACATAAATAACATGTTTTTATGAAAATATATCTTTACAGAACAAAAGGAAATTAGTAATAGGTGACTTTATTTCTTCACTCTGCAAGTCTCTTTAATTCCTAGTCTAGAAAAGCAGCTAGAGTCTGTTTAGTATATGCATCAGTGAGCTGCATTATCACATGTTGTGTGACCTCTAGAAAGTCCTTTGTGAAGTCTAGGTCGACACATGTCCCAGTCTGGGGGAGGCTAATACGTTTCAGGGTATAGGGGGAACTTTAGTCCTAACCCAGGATGATGGTCAGTCTGTTCTACACCTTTGAGAGGATGACCTCAAAAAGGACAAATAATTTCTTAGAACAGTATAAGAAGATGTTGATTTTCCTATGTGTTTATGACATTCTGTGTTCCCTGAAATCTGGGGATGTGCTCTGAGTTTACCTCATTATGATGTTCCTTTGACAACTTGCCATCTTTCTTGTTCTTGTTTTCAAACTGTTTTCTCTAAGTTCTCTTACTGCTTAAATTATTTCTTGTCCTAACAAGTTCATAGACCTTTATCCCCTTTTGTCACATGTCTGTACTTCTGATTTAAATGCATTTCACAGTTTCTGGAATTGTAAAACCATGACCACAGCCATGCTTTAAACTTTCCTTGCAGAAAGTAAAGGAGGCACAAGTCATTCGGGAGAGAATAAGGGGCTGGAGGTGACCAGAAAAGATACAGACCGGCAGTTGTGGCGGGATTTGCTATGGAAGAGAAATACGTATAGATTATGGAGAATAATGTAGCCAGTTATGTAGATACAATTATTGGAAAGTTAAGTAAAAATTATCAACCCATGTTTAAATTCAAATCTTCTAAAAAGGGGAAGAAAGATACCAAACCTGACTGAAATATTCCCATCTCACAGCAGAGCGATACGCCCAAAGGAGGGTGCAGACCAGTGTCAGCGAATCTTTTAGAGCGTGGGTGCCTCAGGTTCCCCATCACTGGTTTAGACAATAGCAATTCTAAGAGTGAGTGGGAGGCAGTGTGGCAGTGCCATTTAGAGTGACTTCATGATGCCATGCTGGGTTAAAGGTAGCCTCCGGTCAGGGGGATCAAAAGGAGGCAAAGCCAGCAAGGCGGAGCATCCAGGGAACAAACGAGAGGATCGTGGTCTTCCGAGCCAGAAGCCAGGTAACTTGGGGAAACTGAGAGCACAGAGTGATGGTGATCAGAAAGGAGACAAGCTAGAGCATCCAGGCAGTGGTGTGCAGACAAGTGAGGCCTAAGGGTGCACATTGGATGTTAGCTAAACTGACAACAGAGGACCAGCCCTGCCACAGGGTAAGCAAGCTTGGGCTGCAGACAGGATGATGTAGGGACTCTGTGCAGAAAGCAGCAGAGGCTGAGGGACATAGTACTTGGGCTGAGGATGATGCATAAGTCAGAAATCCTGGATGGTAGAAACGAAGGAACTCTACAGGCATTTCTTTCGAACCTTATCTTGTGATCCAACAGTCATGATCTGTTGAGGCCCAGCTAGTTGGGAAATGCTACAGAAGTTTGTCACCATTTAGCATCATGGGTACTTTTGAGAGTCCATGGAAAAGTATGGGTCATCACCACAGGAAAATGTATACACATAGACACAATTCACAGATGCTCTGAGGTCCACATGTGGATGCTAGGCTTAGAATTACTTGGCTGGAGAGTCTGATCCATGGGGAAAACACCAGTTTTACGATTCTGAGGCCTCTATGAGATAAAAGGAATTGCTCCTGACAAGTCACTGTGTAATAACACCGCTTACTTTCCTGCAGCAGGAATCAAGCCCCATGCCACACTATGCCTCACTGTGGTACGGGACTCCATGGAAGGAGAAAGTGTTGGGTGTTTATGAGAAATGAGACTAGGGTTAAAGCATAATTCTTTGTACCCTTCCTGCTGACTTCTTTGTTAGTCTCCTTTCTGGGGGGAAATTGTTGAAAGTTAGGTAACAGCCAACTAGTAGTTGTTTCCAGCAGTGTTCTAAACCTTATGTGTTTAATCTCCCAATTAAAATTTCCTGAAGTTTGGCCATTTCTCTAAAAACACAAAGAAAATTCTCCTGTGTCACAGTGACATGCTGCTCATGTTTGCTACTGTTTTATGGGGTAGGATTATTACCAAAGGGAGAACTACAGGGGACGTCCTGCCCGATCCGAGGAGGCTTCTTCATCCTTCAGCTCCATGATGAGCTTCTATATGAAGTAGCAGAAGAGGACATCGTTCAGGTATGTTCACAGCCTGTGTCCATGGAGAAAGCTACAGTCCACACAGGAGGACTCTGGGACCCTGCCTTTGCCACAGGGTGGCTTTGTAAATGTCAAGTCCTAACTGGTAAAGGAGCGAAGAGTGCTTGGATTTATACTTTAAGTATAAAAGTTCCTGGAGCAGGGATAGTTTTGTCCTATAGAACCTAGGGAAGAATGTGGGGACCTGTACTGAGGGTCCCCAAGCTTGGAACATTCTAGCTAAAGCTGGCAGGAGCCCCTGCTCATCAGTGATTGAGTTTTAAGCACCATGAGATGAAGAACTGCAGTCTGGTTCTCAGTAGGCGGGTTGGTGAGCATCCTTTGGTTTGTTAGAGATTAACTTCAGGATTTCTTTTCCTTGTAGGTAGCTCAGATTGTCAAGAATGAAATGGAAAGTGCCATAAAACTTTCTGTGAATCTGAAAGTGAAAGTGAAAATCGGCTCCAGCTGGGGGGAGCTGAAGGACTTTGATGTTTAGCCTGCAGCTGACTTGGTCTCCTGAGAAGCTCGGTGCAGTTATAGCCAGCAGGAGATCGGAGAGGCTGGCCTTTCACCTTCGTCAAGAAGACAAACTGGAGTCCTGATGGACATAGGATAGAAATCTATAGCAAGGGCTTCAAAATGCGTACCAGGGTCTGTTCCCTATGGTGTCAAAAAAGATTTTTGGGAAAGAACTGGAGGTGAAGTTTAATGCTTATATCCACTCCTAAGAGTTCCTGGGGGTTTTGTCGCTGAATTTCATAATTTATTGTGCCTCTGAATATGCTTGAAATATGCACTTAGCACTTCTGGCCCTTCCCTGTCTGGGTGGGACATGGAAATGGAGCTGCCGCCTGGGGTGTTTCCAGTGTCAGTCACCTGGGTTCAGGCACTCAACAGGAGCTGCAGGCCAGGAAGCCTTCAGGTTCACTTTTACCAGCATGGTTATGCATGGGGTGTGATCTTTTTCCTTCAGTATTAAGACTTCTGAAGTGACATTGGTGACTGTAAGGTGGTACGACTTACTGTGGAGGGATCCGTCTCCATGGAATGTTTCTGCTTTTTCTTCCTCAGGTCATACAGTGAAAATACTTGGAATATTTATGTATTAAAAATGAGGCATGTCCTGTTACATACAATCAGATATATACTGCAGATGAACATAATACTGCCTTGCCAGGCAAGGACAGCGCCTCTTCCCCAGCCTTGTGCCTTTATTTGTGTTTGTGACTGGGAGTAACATCCATGCTGAAAAGAGTGAGGTTGGTGATCCCAGCCAGAGGTATAGCACTTTTTGCTGTTGAAATAAAATGAATTCATGAGAAACGTTGTATTACTGGTTCAATTTGTTAAAAATGTGTATTTGGTATTTTTAAAATGTTGTATTCTGTATCAGGAGTGTGTTCCTTAATTACTTTTACCATAGCTCGTTCAAACTGTCTGAACACATAGGAAGTGTTCATTTTATTTTAATCACCTGTCAGAGGAACTCTTTTATGTTCCTTTATGTTATGAAGACTTGCTTCATAGAGTGCAGTGCATAGCTAGGCCTTGAGGATGAGGGTACAAGTCCCCAGACATGGTTAATGGAGTGGGCAGAAGATGGCAGAGCTAATGGGGATGTATATCATTATTTTTATAATTTTTCCCATAGCTACTTATAGTTCTCAAAGACAAAAGCTCTTTATGTGTAGTAATGTACATTTTGTCATCCTTTTTGCCTGTAAACTGCACTTAAAACAGGATTTCATATTTCATATATACATAAATCCTGGTTACTGTTGTTTAAATAACATAAATCCTCCATTACCAAAATTCAAATTTGTTATCAGAGTATACTGACTAATTCCATAAAGTTCACACTTTGCTGGTAGCTCTTCAGTCCACAAATCACTAACAGATGTGCGTTGTGTCAGGCAGGATGTCCCTCTGTCTCCAAATGTCTCTGAAACCTGTGAAATGTCATATTACTTAGTGAAAAGGACTTTACTTATATGATTTAAGCTAGACTCTGGAGCCAGAAACACTGTCCTGGGTGACCTGAATGTCTCCAGGACATACCCATAAGGCTCCTTACACACAGGCAGCAAGAGGTCAGAGTCAGAGAAGGAGATGATGACCACAGGAGGTGGAGAGGATTTAATATACTCCATTGCTGGATTTACAGATGGAAAATGGGGCCATGAGCCTTAGATTTCTCCCAAGTTACCTGAGAAGGGATACTACCCAGCCAGCACCTCACTGCTAGCTGGGTTAAGATCAGTTTGGACTTGTGACTTTCTGAACTGTAAAAGAGTAATTTGTGATATTTTGAGCCAGAAATTTTATGCTAATTTATTACAGCAATAAGTGGAAAATTAATGAATGCAACATGATATGTAATCATTACATCATCTTTGACTGGTTGCTGTGTTTATATACAGATGGCAAAGTGCAGAGTTATCAAGAGTCCTTATCTCCCTGGCATACACTCATGTGACACTTTACAAATCTGGATACTCAAAAGTAGATGTTAGCTAATAAAAATGAAAATGCATAGGAAAATGAACAATAGGAGTGAAATTCAAAGTGAACTTATATAGAAATATATAGGAACTATTTTAGCTCTTCATCTGTAAACCAGTGTATTCCAAATCAAAGTTTAAAAGGATTTTGGTTTTAGATGTTATTCTGAAACTCACCCAGAGAAAAATATCAATACCTATCATACTCTAAAGAGAAAAGGTATTAGGACATTATAAATATATAATAATTTAGTGGTTTTATAAAGCACAGAAATAAGTAAGTTACTAGAACAGATAAGAATTTAAAAAAACAGACTTTCAATGCCATTTCAAATTTGTAGTGAAAAGCTGGGTTGTTCATAGATAGAAGTATAGTGATAGGTTATATATTTGTAAGAGTATCAAGTTAGAGCCTAGCTCAAATGCCCCCCCCCCCACCAAATACCAAATGGATTAAAAACCTGAGAAGAGAGAAAGGCATAATACTTCCTAAGAAGTACTTTATCTTTTTTTCTTCTATGGCTGTCCTTACACCTTGCAGCTGGCCATGGCTGCATTAGACACAGCCTTTCCAAGAGACTTTGACTGTAGCAAGCCTTCATCATGGATCCATCTTAGGTGACTACCCTGCAGTCTCTCCGCGATTCTGCCCCTCTGCAGTCTTAATCAGGTCCACAAAGAGCCTCTCCTCTACCTAAGATGAAGCAAAAGTCTGACACTGTGCATGCATATGCCTTGCTTTTTCTTCTGAATCACTACTTTCCCTCACACACTCAGCCAGTCATTCTGCACATTCTTCATGGTCCAGTCTTATGTAAGTCCTAATAAAGTCTCTTTCAAACACTTGTGATTTCTGTCTTGTGGAGAGCAGCTGAGCTGGTAACACTGAAGGCTGTTGGTACAACAAGGACCAACAGCTGAGGTGGCAACAAGAGTTCAGCTATCAGCTAACAATGGAGAGCTAAGAACTGCTGGGAGCCGCCATCTCTAGTGACCAGCACAGTCCTGAAGCCTCCTGGTATGGGCTGCGAGGAGAATGGCAGAGACCACTAAGAGCTGATAGGTTTGGCATTCAAAGCTCACATGTGTTAACACTAAAAGAGCTGCACAGCGTCTATTTGTGATTTGTTTACAAATTGAGCAAAAGAACCCTCAACTGGGTGACAACTACTAAAAAAAAAAACAAAAACGAAATTGTTACTGTCACAGAAATAAAACCTTTAAAACAACGTTCAAATGTAATGGTTATAGGTTATAAAATTTGACTATATTTAAAAAAGAAAAACCTTGTCATGAAAAAGTGTCATTGTGAATAGTTCAATTATGAAAGACTTTGGACAGGCCAGGGACCCGAACATGGTAAGAGAATCCAAAGGGAATCCATGTCCTCATGATGCTGAGTTAGCCAGTGAGGACTACTTGGTCCTTCCCTGGACAAGAGGGCATCTCGTAAGGGGCTCTAGAGTCACAATAGCCAGCCATGGTTATAGAGAGCCACAGGGAACCCAGAAAAATGTCAAGAACTGTACCCCTTTCTCTGTACCGTGAGACCATATACTCTTAATTCTTGCAAGGAGGGGAAGGGAGAGAATATCTGCACAACAATTAGGAAGATCCAGAAGTAAGGAAAAATCAGGTGTAAGAAAGCAAAGAACTTCAAATAGGAAGGCAGTGGGAGCTCCAGTGGTGCAATCTGTTAGTACATAGTCCTTACCCAGGAAGGCAGCAAGGTGGCTGAGTAAAGGCCCCTGTCACTCACCTGTCTGCACAGAAGCATGTATGGCTACATTTTGAGTTGAGTGATCATGGGAGAACACTGGAAATCAACAAAAGAAACGTGGAAACCTGGTCAGAACCAGAGTACTGTGAAGACAGCACAGTATGGGAAACAACATCGTCTACCCTAGCCACACAGCCAGGTAAGGAAAGTCTCTTGTCTGAAGAGGTTACAGGTGAAAGACTCAGCAGATTCCACCAGTGCTGACAATCCCAGCTACTGGAAAGTTTCCTATCCTTTACAGGCTTGTAGCTCTAAATAACCTTAAATGGGTACTGTAGGTATGCTTTGGAAAAGCATTTCACATCATTTTGCAGTAACTCTAGGCTGTGTTAGCCAGGAACCATTATGAACAAAGACTCATTGCTTGAATTCTGGGGCTCTGTGCCAGAAACTCTCCCATATTCCTATACCTGGTACCTCACAGACATTGCATGGCACTGGCTCATAGCTGATTGGAGAATCAAATGGCACAGCAGAGTGAGAGTTCAAAACTGCTAGATAACCTGCATGGTAAGGGGGATGAGTGTTACAACATGGAAAGGAGTGGGATTAAGAGCTGGGGGATCAGGGAGCCTCTTCTACATGACCAAGGGTTTGACCAGACTCACATGGTTCACATAAGTGTCAGCACTGGAGGCAGCCACCTGTGCTATTCCTACCTTCTCTACAACAGCACCTGGTCACCTGTCACTAGGGCAGGGCAATAAGTCAAGTATTAATGTTGTCCTGTCCATAAGATTGTGCTGGGTGGTGCTGAACAATGCTGAGGGACTGGCTATCACCCCACTCTGGGGAACACAGCTTAAGACATTCAGAGGGGAACATGGCCCACTGCTAGCTATGGTGGTATTCTTATCTCACTGCTATAGGCATTGCAGCTGGGAGGACCACTGCCTGCTCCATCTTTGGTGGGCACTAAAGTAGAAAACATGGCAGAGAAAAGCCCTGGCCACTGCCCAATTCCTAGGCACACAAAGCCAGAGGGACCGACATCCTACTCTGGGTGATCATGCCAAGAGTTGCAGTGTAGAGCAGTAAGACGACAATGGCTGCACCTCACCTAAGCAGTTTCTAGTAAGCCACTTGTCTTGTTTGAGCACGTAACGCTGACAAGTCCAGATGGGAGACCACAGAGGAAATGCTACGCTTCGCGCCCCTACCTCTTCTCACGAAGCACCTGGCTCTACACTACTGTTTGGGTACAGGAGAAGTGATGCAGGCTCCTCACACACCAGTGTAACCAGTGCCAGGGGCAGTAACCACACCACACAGTAAGAGCCACCACACTTACTGTAGGAGTGGGCACATGTGTGTTCCAAATGCTCTGCTGCCTGAACTGCTAGAGTGCCCTCACTCTTGTGTAGAGTAGGTCTCTGTGACACAGCATATCCAGATCTACTAACTACAACCAAAGAAGCTTTATGGAGAGGGTGCCATGGTGTGCCCTGGCATAAACTCAACATTTCATAACAAAGTGATACCCAAGAGGAAAAAGCCACTTTCTATAAGGCCATTCTATAAAAGTGGTACATATATTGGACCCAGAAAGTATACAAATCTCAATGAAGGAAAACAAGAAAAATGAAAAAAACAAAGTAACATGACACCTGAAGATTCATCTCTAGCAGCAAATGCCAAAGAAATCAAAATGGGTAAAATTCCTGTTAAAAGAATTAAAAATGCCTAATGATTTTTTGAAAAGTCGAATGAAATACAAGAGAATATGGATAAGCAGTTAAACAAAATAGGAAGACAATTCAAGTTATGAATAGAAATTCATCAGGGAAATAGAGGTTTTGTAGTGCTTCATACATCAAAAAAATCAATCCATCCACCAACCAGTCAATTGAAAGCCTCAACAACAGCCTATATAGAGCATAAGAAAAGGTACAGGAACTTCAAGACAAGACTTCTGAAATGCTACATTCTTACAGAAAGGAAAAATAATGAAAAGAGTATTCAAGATCCTTGGGGCAACACCGGGACATCCAAAACTAAAGAGATAAAGGCATAGAAACAAAATATTAGCACAAATATTCCCT